CTGCAAATAATCAGGCCAAGTGTAATGAGACTAGACTCTTTACCAATTAGTCTTGCTGTGATTATGTCTGATAGGAATGGAGGTGACTGTCAAGAGAACATTATGTTACAATAAAAAAAACTACAGTACATCCATTATCAGATCTAAGCCCTATTCGCTCTCTTTGAGGTTTTGTTATCTACTCGTAAACTGGACCCTGAATTCTGCTAGTTTCCTCCAATATCTGGCTACAACTCTTTAAACTAATATTTCCAATTTTCTCCTACCCTGCTAACTTGGAGTCACTAAGAACTAAAGCTGCCCTTTTCCTGAAGCCCTACAAACTGGTGCTGATATATAAACTACAGAGAAATCACCACGATGAATCACATATGGATAACTTGCTTGACTGCTGCTGGGTGGGCCACTCGGAAAGTTCACCAGAACGCCCAACACCATCCCAGAGTCATTCAAACTACAAACCAGGAAATTTGTCAGAATTGCCCTCACGCCACCATCTAAAGATGCTTTGAGCCCAACAGCCAGAGGTTTTCTTTTTTTTTCTTTTTTTTTTCTTTTTTTATATAATTGTGTTTATTTTTACTTGTTGACAGTTTGCTTTATTTATTTATTTATGGCTGTGTTGGGTCTTCGTTTCTGTGCGAGGGCTTTCTCTAGTTGTGGCAAGCGGGGGCCACTCTTCATCGCGGTGCGCGGGCCTCTCACTCTCGCGGCCTCTCTTGTTGCGGAGCACAGGCTCCAGACGCGCAGGCTCAGTAGTTGTGGCTCACGGGCCCAGTTGCTCTGTGGCATGTGGGATCTTCCCAGACCAGGGCTCGAACCCGTGTTCCCTGCATTAGCAGGCAGATTCTCAACCACTGCGCCACCAGGGAAGCCCCCAGAGGTTTTCTTGATTGACTGTCCTCTGGACTCAAAAACAGAATTTGTAGTTTGTTTTAATCATTAACCTTTATTTTTGTTTCCTTAGAAATGCTTCGTATTAAATAGCTCATTGCTTGCACCACAGAGAGCCCTAAATGAGATACGAGTAGATCAGTGGTGGCTTAGGAATGGGGCAGGAATAGGGGAACAGGAAAGTAACTGCTAAGGAGTACAGGACTTCTTTTTGAGGTGATGAAAGCATCCTAAAATAAACTGTGGTGACGGTCACATATATCTGTGAATATACTAAAAATTATTGAATTACATGTTTTAAAAATGCAGATTCCTAGACCTCCACCTCAAAACTATTCACACTAATGTTTTGTGGCAGGCAGGGGGCAGCAGGAAGCAGAGCAGAGTTCAGAGTTCAGTGAGGAAGGGCAGCAAACTGTACCTGGGTGTGTAGAGTTCTCCACATCACCCTCCAAGCGGTACTTGGACTTTTGCATTCAGCAGCTGGAAGTTGTGCTCTGTGGTTTTGATAAGAATATTGCTTTACGTGGGAAGAAAAGATGAGTATGGAGAAGTGTGCTGTTGAACATCTAGGTCACCGCACCTGCCTAGGCCTTGTGTCAGCACCCCGGACCCCAGCATTCACTGAGGGGAACTGGCTTCCAACTACTGTGTAAGATGCTTGAAAAAAATGCCATTTAATTATTTGTTGGAACGTACAGCCACCCAAAGCATGCCAATAAACTACTCCCAAATGCCGCGCCGCTCAGGCTGAGACAGGCAGCACCCGAGAACACGTCTAAGTGCAGGTGGGGATCCGCTCTGCAACCTGCCTCACAGGCATGGCACACGCACCGTTAGGCAAGTGGAAGGCTAGCACGCTGCTCCCCTGGACCCTGAGCGGTGGAGGGTCTACTCACCATCCTTCCTACTTTGGGATCCATTGGGCGGCAGTTCTGTGGTCTCAGCAATTCCCCCGGACCTCGAAGGAAAGTGGAAGAGGGGGTCTCACCAAGGCCTCAGCTGGTCACATTAAACATCCCCCCACGAGGTGCCTGTCTGTGTCCTCCCCGTTCCCCAGAGGGAAGACAAGGCTGGAATAGTGGACCTATTCACATTTGGAAAACAAAGCTGCTTCAGAGACATGTGTTCAACTCGCCAGCAGAGGGAGAGACAATGCGTATTGCATGCACAGACATGGGATGAGGCAGTGGCCCGGAAGTCATCTGATATAACTGAAGGCCAGCGAGGCCAGCCCAGGCCGTGCGTGACAGCCCAGGGGCTTTGCCTGGCACGTGTGGATGGTGTCACCTTTGGCAGGGAGCAGGTGCACGTGCCCAAGGCCGGCAGACCTAAGGGAGGCCACGTGAACACACACTGTTACCTCTGGCAGGTGATACCTCGGCCCTGCGCTGGCACTGTGACCCTAGAACGCGTCAGCACGACAGGCTGGGTGTCAGTCTGCTCCGGCTGCCATAGTGAAGGGTGGCAGAAAGGGTGGCTTAAACAACAGAAATCTATTCTCCCCTAGTTCTGGGCCAGGAAGTCCAAGATCAAGACGTTGGCAGGGTTGGTTCCTCCCTAAGGGCAGGGGGAGAATCTCTGCCTGGCCCCTCTCAGCTTCCAGGGGCTGCAGGTAATCGTCCATGTTCCCTGTTTTGCAAACGCATGGCCCAGCCTCTGCCTTCGCCTTCACGTGGCCCTCTCCCTGGGTACATTCCTGTCCACACGTTCCCGCTTCATAAGGACACCAGTCATACTGGACTAGGGCCCACCCACAAGACCTCTGCAAAGACCCCATCTCCAAATCCGGTCCCACTCTGAGGTACTGGGGGTTAGGATTTTAATACGGATTTTTAGGGGATGCAATTCAACCACTAACAGGCTGTGAGTCTCCAAAGCACTTAGAGTGTGCTGGGGAGACCTTTCACATCACCCCAGGCCTGGGAGTCAGAGTTATCCCTGGGAGGGGTTAGTCCCTGGTCTCTCCCACATGAACGGCTGGGGCCATGGGACCAAATCCATCCAACGTCTGGGTCCCCATCTACACTGTTGACTCCCCAGTATGTCTTTCCTCTCCTGCAGTGATAGAAATGTCATTCACGCATGTTTCCTGCCTCTTGTGCAGTTAGGAGTGGCTGTGTGACTACCTGAGAAAGATGCAAACTCTGGATGGTGCCCAGAAGCGAGGAAGCCTGTCTTCCCCCATCCCTCCTTCCTACAGGCTGGGGCTGCAGGCTGGAGCAGAGGCCACGACCTTGACGCTGAAGCCGGGGAGCCCCGCCTGCCCGAGAAAACTGTCATCACCTTGAAGACTGTGTCGTCGCGGTCACAGCGGCCTCACTAATACATGTGGTTTAAGGATCCCGACAGGTCTACCACCCTTTCCCGATGCCGTGGCCAAAAAGCAAGAGCAAAGGAACTACGACTTTCCCTTGGTCGCACGGAGACGCTCAGCTTTCCTTCAGGTCGGGACTCCTCTCAGCTCCTTCGCTTCCGGGTCAAGAACACAGCCCAGTAAGTTCTCTTTTTCTAAATAAGACCAGGCAGGGTATTCTTGTCAGTAGTCAGCTTCCCGCCGCGGAGTAACACCATTCAGGGGCACAGCTGGGGGACGCCTCTCCTCCCACGGAACAGTGGGATGAATGCATTTCCTGAGCACCGAGCAAAGTCTCTGCCCCTAACTTGAAACTAGAGTTAAAGTGCACTGACCCTGAGCAGGTAGCTCCAAGGACTCGGTCCCTGGAGGGCGCAGGGTGACTGGTACCAGACTGTTTTCCTGGACAAGCCTCCCTGAGGCCTAGCAGCATGAGTGGTGAGGATGGAGATAAGGAGGCTGCAGCTCACAATGCTGCTGAGGACACTGTGGAGGTGACTCCAGGGGCGAGGAGGACCCGGGCAGTGAAGGAAAGATCCAGGGGCTGAAAGCATGGCTTCCACTCCATCCCGTTACGTGTCAGGTGTGACAGGGCCCAACAAACAGCACCCCCGTCCCCCATGCCAGTCCCGGCCTACGAGTCAGGTGGGTCAGCAAAGTAGACAAAACACAGACTTCACGATAAACAAGGGCCCGGTTCCTTCGGGGGAGTTTAGTGTGGCCTCCTCCATCAGCTGGGCCAGGGGACTCTGCTGTTTAAACCACTCTGATGGGCTCTTCTGCGGCTCGGCAGCACCAGGAGTGGGGACAGGAGAGGACGAGCGAGACGGGCACCGGCGTTCTGAGCCCGGCCCTCAACCCCGCCAGCCCGCACCGCATACCTCACCACGCACAGGCACGGGGCTGTGCAGAGAAAGGCGCACAGGCAGCAGCTCCTCCAGAGGCTCAGTTTTTATTTTTTATTTAGCAACTCAGATTGAGATCAGATAACCCTCCCAGTAGGTTTAGGTTTTGAGGGATCGTAGTAAAGAGAAGATGTGGAACACCAATAACAGTTAAGGTCTTGAGAAAAGGACAGAATGTGCCCAATACAGCAGCGGACAGAAAGGATGGCCCTCGAGGCACCAGGTGCCCGCGACTCAATGCTCTAGGTGTGTGCGACCCTGGCTCGGGGGGCAGAGGTGGGACCAGGAAGCACCAAGGCCTCTCTTCAGCCCAGTAGACATCGACCAGCCCAGTAGACATCTACAGAAGAAGCTGTGCTTTTAGGCCTCGGCTATTTTCTGGAGACACCGCTGAGAATTCAGCTGTCACACAGGGTCGTTTACAAGCCCCCAGGACTGAACACTGATCACTGCTGGGACAGGTTAACTCCATCCTGAGACAGGTGGGTAGTCTCGCGTCCACAGCCGGAGGCCTGGAGAATCTGACGAGAGGGAAAGGAGAGAGACGGGCTTCCGCGTTCCTGAGCGACAGGAAGAGCG